TGAAGGTTATTTTTCAATTTCAAGCAACTTAGTGGTGAAAAGCATTGCACATAAGCCTTTGACTACATTTGTCTTTATTTCCACAGTATGAATTCCTAACAAAGTCAAAGCATGGAAACACTTAAAAGATCTTGATGTTTGTGTCCAAGTTGTTCCCAGAATTTCACACTGCTAAGTTGCTCCCAGCATTCCACACTGCAGCAGCTATTTACTCATGTTGTTCACACCTTAGGAGATTGAGCATTATCTCTTATGGAATCTGCTCCATTTGGAGACTCCCTCATACCATGTAGTTTTAAATTGAATGTCTTGATTTGTAGTGAGAGTGCATATTCAGAAAGTATTTAGGAAGCTTTGAGACTCGTGTGGATTTGGAAAGGGAGATGGGAAGGGCCTTGATAGACTGGGGAAGGAATGACAGTTTATGCTCAGGATGATCGGTGGGAATGCAGGAAGAGGAATAGAGAAATGGAAACTCACTAGGAAGCAGAATGGGAATCTTTCTAGGAGGAGGGGCTGACCCAGGACATCCCGGTGCTACCTAAACTTCCAACTACTCATGAACCTGGTGTAGTCAGTCACTTCCATTTTGCAGCCACCGTGTTAGAAAAGGATAACATTTCTTTTTTTCCTAAGTAAACTAGAAGACAGAAACTGTAAGGTTGACATATAGCACATTCCAAGTGGGACCCATTTGCTGGCTAAGCAGTAGATCAGCACAAATTATGAGCATTTAGACATGTGTTAACCTACTAATTGAGGAAGGGAGACACTGGATGATGAGGTCTCCCTAGATGCCCTTGATCTTCCCCTCCTGATTCCCGAAATACCAATTAACACTCTCAGTCAACACTAGAAAACATATGGTGAGGATAAACACTACCCTATAAAGAATCTCACCCCTGCTTGTCACAGGACATTAACCAACCCATACTGGCACCCCTAAGGGGGTGGCAGCAGCAAATTGTAATGGAAAAGTTACTGTTTTCCTATTTAACTTTTTATTTGAAATAAAATGTCCTTTTGACATCTAAGAAGAATTTAAGAAAGTTGTGTGTGCGTGTGTATGCGTGTGTTTATGAGTGTGTGTGTGTGTGTGCGCGTGCACGCGCGCGTGCGTACTGGGTTCTTTGTGATCAGCTTCATTCTTATTATTTCTCACATGATGATCTTATGATCTGTTTTTGCTTTGGCATCAGCTCAGCCTAATTGCAAAGGTGATTTGAGGAGCAAGTACATGGAATATTCTGAGAAATCATCCAAATGACTTCCCAAATGGAGGGTAACCTGTGACCACTGGTGACTCCTGTCTTTGTGTCAGGTGTCAGCCTTTGTTCAGAAAGCTCCTGTGTCACGGGAAGTTCATGTGAAGTTCCTCAGCAGTAACGAGCTCATCATTTCCCAGTGTTTCCCAAAGGAGAGACGGAGCCACTTGAAGGGTAGGTGCACTGGTAGTTCACGTGGGAGGACAATAGGCTGATATAGTCACCAGGCTCACTACTGGCAGTGTTCTCGGGTCTGTGTCTTCCCCAGTCCATCCTGAATCAGTGCCTCCTAGGACTTGGAAATTTGCTGTTCTTGCTTACTGTACCTGTGGTGACAAAAGAAAAGCACAAGAAAGACATCCACGTCCTAGTCCCTGGAATCTGAGATATGTTAATTTACATGGTGAAGGGAACTGAGGCTGCAGGTGGAGTAATTTTGCTAATTGGCTCACCTTGAAATGGAAAGAGTATCAAGGTGAATTCAATGTAATCACAAGAGTTCTTATAAGAGGAAGAGAGAGGCAGAAGGAAGCCAAAAAGTTTTCATGGAGGCATGAAAACAAGTTGGACCGACATGATTGGCTTTGAAGGTGGAAAAATGGGGCCTAGAGTCTGAGTCCAAGGGGCTAGTGGCTTCTAGGAGCTGGGAAAGGCAAGGACAGGGACTGTCCCCCAAGCATCCAAAAGAAATTTACTCCTACTAACACTGATTTTAGTTTAGTGAGACCTGTTTGGAACTTCTGAAATCTAGGACTTTAGGGTAATAAATTACACTGTTGTAAGCCACAAAATTTGTGATAATATGTTACAGCAGCAACAGGAAACTAATACAATGTTGTCTGCTCCTGAACCTGAGAACCCATAGTGACACTGTCTGTGGCACCTTTCCCCTGAGCCCCATGCCCTGGTTAGGCTCCTGGTTGTACGTACTGATCGTTTGTCAGCAGTTTGTAATGGCCAGGAATGGGCAGTCTGAGAAGCTCTTGCAGAATATTTCCAAACTGGACTACCAAGGTTGGTGAGGGAATGGGAATATGCAGAGGTATGAAACCTTTCCCAATTCTTGAGAATTATTTTTCCTGTTCTCCTTTAAACCATTAAGACCTATTTTATACTTAAAATCCTCCTTATGTTCTTGCTCATCCTAGACAGTTGCTCTAGGAATTTTGTGCTATTGAGAAAGTGAAAAATCATGAAAAATATTTTGTCTTCAAAGCATCGGTCTGACCATAAAATATTGTGCATTTCCTTATTTATCCAATGGGTATTAACTTAAGCCTTTTTTTTTTTTTTTTTGAGACAGTGTCTCATTATGTAGGCCAGATCAGACTTGAACTTGCTATGTAGCACAGGCTGGCCTTGAACTCCAGATCTTCCTGCCTCAGATTCCCAGCTTAATTTAAGGCTTTTGCTGCACACACTGGCATAAGAATACATCTCACTTGCTCAGGAAATGCAAGCCTGTGGGAAGGTTGAAAGGAGGACATGAAATCTGCCCTCTGGTAGAGGGGCTGAGAGAGATGAAATAGGATGACTATTCTCAGGGAGGTTGTAGCGAGTTTCCTAAGAGTGTTATCAGGGGATAGTGGGAGTGTGGAGAGGGGAAAGAGCAGCACCTTGGAGCAGGATAGGTGCTGAACAGTGTCTGAGGGAAGTGGGAGATATCATGAAAGAGTGGATTTGGAGATGTTTGGATCTGAGCTGTGCTTTAAAGGAAAATAAGGTGTATACAGGCAGGACTTATAATTGTGGTCAAGCACAGGTCTGTGAGCAATTCACAGAGGCAGGGAAGGGCATTGGCCCGGTCATTATTTTCTTTATGAACTCTAAGTTGGGCACCTATGTAATGCTAAGCCATGGGTGAGTTTCAGGGATATAGTGTGGATAAACTTTGTGGAAATGATTTTACAATTTCTATGGTGATGAGTTCCATGTGCAAGAAGTACTAGGTGCTATGAAAACATGTAACTGGGCTGCTTCAGTGGTTGATAAGCATTTGGTTGGAACATGGAGTGTTAAGAGAAATAAGGAAGCCATGCCGGAGTGGTAGGGTGGTAAGTGGGAGCCAGTGGAGGTTTTTGAAGCAGATTAGGACATGGAAATCTTGGGGAAAGATGAGAGCTAGAATCCATTCTGGTTGAGCTCATTTTGAGACAAGACAGACAATCCTGCTTGAAGAGACACAAAGCCAGCTTTTGACATCTAGTACTTGTTCCTCCAACAATAGTTCCTGGAAGACTGGATAAAAGATAAAATATATATTTTTTAAAAATGGGATAGACTATCTATTGCAAAAGTCCATCTTCCCTTGAAATGAATTTTGTGATCAAAGCAAGTTTGGTTTGAGAGAAAAGATTTTAACTGCAGCGATAGGAGCAAACTAGCATTTACTCTTAGGACGGAGGAGCTGTATGATTTTTAAAAATAGGTTACTTTTTTCAGGCAACATGATAATGACGCAATGTATAATAGGAGCATACTGAACAAAGAAGCAGGACTGTGAATGCAAACACTGAAAGGGTAGCAATGTCCTGAGCATGTGGACCAGAGGGCAACTCTGGAGTACTCGAAATTGAGTTGCTTTGTTATCTAAGCTGAGTAATGAGCCATGGAGGTATCTATGAGTCATTCTACTTCTGTTTCCAAAACAGACCTGATTTAAGAGGCATTAGAAGGGACGAAGCTGACATTCAGTTGACATTCACAAATATATTTAACTTATTTGTCTTGCAGGCAGGGAACATGTTGGGACAACTTTCAACTGCATTATGTGTGGTCTGGGAGCTTTGATCTCTTTATGCTTTCTTTATATTGAGAAAAAGCTTTGAAGTATCCTGCAGTTATGAGTACAGTAGATGCCTATTGTAGTGGGTTGCTACGAAATTGATTTGACTCTACTAAGAGTCAAACTCTTGTCTCCTGATGAAAATCTTCTATGCTTTAAACACCTTTTGCCCCCAGTAACCTAAGAGAAGAAAGTTAGTCTTACTTCCTATTTTCAGCCCAGACAAGGACATTTACCACTTATGTGTGTTCTTCAAGCCATTGATTAGGTAGGGCATTTGTGCCAGAATGGCCGTCACATTAGCCAGGTCACGTGGAGGTGACATGGTTCCCATACGTCTGCAGCTGAGTGATTTTTTCAATTGGAAATAAGTTTTTGAGTAATGCTGATGGTTTTTTTTTTTTTTTTTTTTTTTTTTTGGTTTTTCTCCGGTACCAGGAACTGAACTCACGACCTTGCGCTTGCCAGGCAAGCGCTTTTGCCACTGAGCTAAATCCCCAGCCCAATGCTGATGGTTTTGACATGATGCTTTTTCTTATGCCTATTCCATTGATCAGGGAAATGAAAGTTGTTATGGTTTGTGTCTGGGTGTCCCCCCAAAGCCTCATGTGGTCATGGGGCAGGCTTTTGGAGTTTGATTGATTATGGGTGTGAGAGCTGCACCCACCCTGGGGTGGATAGTTTGCATATGTAAGGGAGAGCAAGAGGCTGCTTGCGGCCATTCCTGGCTTTTGTGCCTGCTACTTTTGCTGTGTTCTGCCGCCATGAGCTGTAGCCCTCTGTCATGTGCCACTCTGCCTTGTAACTTGCAAAGTATGGACTGAAACCTCCACAAACTGTAAGCAAAATAAACCTTTCCTTCCTTAATTTTGGGCATCAGGTATTTTGTCCCAGCAACGAGAGAAAAGTAACCAAGACAAAAGTAAAACTAAAAATAATAGTCTTTTAGATTTTTATTATCCATAGGTCATAAATAGATTGATTTTGTCTGATACCTTTGTGCACATGAAAAAATAAATCTTGCATTTGATCAGCTGAATGTCCTTTTCTCAGCTCTTTGCCTAGGCTTTCCTGATTGGATCAAAGAGTTGAGTAAGTCTAAGCTCCTTTAATCCTACCTTTGCTTTGTCTTGAGACTCACAGCCGAGAGCCCCTGAAGAGAGGTGACCTACACCTGTTGGTCACTGTAAATCTTGGTCATTCTTCAGGGGTCAAAACAAGATTGTACAGCATTCTTGTCCTTCCACTAACTTTTCTTCTTCCTCCCACTTCATTTCCTGCTTCTCATCGCATTCCAGTCCTTATGTATTCCGAGGCAGTTGGCTGTGTGGTATCAATACCTTGGAAGTAGAGACAGGTACTGAGAACAGAGCACTGAGAGGACCCTATAAGTGGAAATGAAACTTTTCCGAGGTTCCACTCAGCCTTTGTCAGACCTTCCTTGGAGCCCTCATCCAGTAGCATGGGTCCTGAGAACTTGCTGGACTTTGCATCTTCTGGGTGAGTCTTAATTTTCCATAGCTTGATGCTGTGTTTTGAAAAGCATATGGAGCACAGGGTTGATCTAGGTAACATCCATTTCTCCCAAGGGGTGGGGTGGAGGAGGTTGTGCTTTTACGATTCAGAGACTGTGGCTATAGACTTAAACAATGAGTTGAGTTTGTAAGTCCTAACAGCGAGACAATGGTCTTTAATAAGCTCAAAATCACCTCTCATTGGATTGACTTTCACTTCAGGAAGATCAGTTTTTGGCTTGCAGCTCATTCAGAATGCTCCTTTAATGAGAAAAGTAGTGACCTGGGAGGAGGGAAGCCCTTTTAGAACACAAATAGCTATTATTACAATTTTAGATAACCCAGTCTAACGCAAGGCCATGTGATTGAAAAGACAGATGATAAAATCTAAATACAAGTACAGCCTGAGAATATATCCTTTCTTCTAGTGCTGACTGTCTGGTTGTGTTTGTTATCTAACCCTGTAATTAGGATGGCATTCAGAAAATATGAGGAAAGTTGGTATTCTTTTCATAACCCCCAAATCTTTGCATTGCTGCTTGAAACTTTTGGCTTCAGCTTTTCCCTGTTCATTAACCATGCCAAAATTTTTAATCTAACACCACTGTTAAAGAGTGGCAGGCTTCCAGGGAAATATATCAGCCAGGCTTATTAATTTCATGCCAAGTGCTGGAGGCGTGAATGTAGAGAACGCTGTTTGACTTTGGATAATAGGAATCAGGCAGCTTAAAGGCAAGGGATAAAGATCAGGAGCCCCACGTCTCAGGAGGAGGAGCAGGTGCAGGCTTCAAGCAAGGCCTTCAGGCCCAAAGGGGCAGCCCATGCTTAAAACAATCTGCAGTGCTGTTTCTTTCTTTCTTCTTCTTCTTCTTCTTTTTTTTTTTTTTTAATTTGGCATGTGCCTCTCACAGCTTAACAGACCGCTGCTCCACAAAGAGGGGTAAACAGAGAAAGGGAAATTAAAAAGGGAAGTCCCAAGGTAGACAAAAACAAATTAGGGCAAACAAATTACACAGAGTCAACAAATAAACAAGGGAACATCTGTGAATATATTTCTTGGATTTTCTGATGCTGAATACAACCTGAGAAATAGTAGAGGGAGGTGAACAGTGCAATCTAGAGCACAGTTCTGCCTGGAGAGAATGAGCAAGCTGAACACGAAAAAAGCCAGAGGTACCCAGAAGTCCAGCTCTCAGCAAGGTGCCTGGGGAGACCAGGAGCTCTGCAGGTGGTCTCGCAGTGCGTGCGGGAGCTGACCCCACTGCATTTCTCACATGCACTCCTGGCTTCCTTTGGGGACAGATAGGGTTGTGTGTTTTGCCAACCCTCCCATAGAAAAGGGCTGTAGAAACAGAAAGAGGTGGCAGTCTGCTCACATGAGCAAACCAAAACAAAGCAAGCAACATTCCAATATGGGACATGTGTTCACCTTATCCATCTTCCACATCTGTTCCAGTGGGCACACGAGCTCTTCCAGCCACTAGACATGTGCCAGGTGTTGACTGGATGTTGGGAAACATTTGAGCTGCTCCTTCTGGCAGTTTGGTTGCTACTGACACAGTTTCTCTCTTATCCCGAGGCTGGCGAGAGAGTTTCAAGGTGGTGAAGGAAGTGTAACATATTGCATACGGTTCACCAAAGGCATCGCTGCATTTAGAGACAGATGAAAATGGTAGGAATTGGCTTATACCACCTCCCGGGGCCCTCTCTTACTACAGACTGTGAGCAATTGAAATACAGTAGTGGAAAAATGACAAATATTTGATTTATTCATTGCATAAATTCAAAGGATACTCAAATACTTTCTAAAAGTTTGAATTGGTAAAGTTTCATGAAGTGTGCACTTCAGGGTCTAGATTACTTTAATTATTGAGCTAAATGCCCTACTAGCCATACTCTCTTTGGAATTCATTGTGCATGTGATAAACTAGAAACATGTAAGAAGACAGAACTATTTCGGAGTGTGTAAATGCAAGAATGAAAGAGCCTCTGGTTCTCCTCCTGTTCCTTATGTACATTATTTTGCTTCACTACTTATTCCTAAGTGGACTATAATGAGTGAGTTGTGCAATACAAGAATTATACTAGATGTGGTCAATTTACATAAATAAGAATGGTACAGTTATATTACACAAGTATATTAGAAATAATCTAGAAGTTAGGATTTGGTCTATGAAGTAAACTGTAAGGAATAACAGTAAGCAGGGAGTCAGTACCAATCAATAACTCATTGACTTGGTAATGGAGACACCCAGACATTTTTTCTAGCTAAGGTGGTTGTGTGATCTTTGTTCAATTATTTGTTTTCTATCTGCTTGCCAGTTTGTAAAATGAGCATGACCATATTTCTTCATAGTCTTTCAAGAAAAAGGAGGAAGTCCAATCAGTGCCTGGGAGATATTATCAATTCCGGACAGAAATTGTCCATAAAAACTCTGGCCTCCATGTATTATTAATTCTCAAGTCACAAGGCTGGAAGGGTTCTTGTGAGGTCAACCTGTTCTCACTCAGTTTGTGGTGCTTGTTATTTGGAATCTCAGAGAAATGCTGTGATGGATTATTTCAAATTCCTTTGTGTTAAGGTATTAAGATGAGGTTCCCAATTACTATCAAAGCATCACTAAAAAGTCATTGTAGGATGGAAGAAATCAATATCATCAAATATTTATTGGGTGTCTGTTGGGTGCTTTGTGTTTCACTTGTAACTATTTGCTATGATTTAGAGTTAAGGTCTATAAGGCTCTTACTTGCTTATTTAGTAACTTTTCTCCCTATCCATTTAAAAAAACTTCAGTTTTTTTTAAATAAGCTAACTATGCCTCTCTGGAATGAATTTGTTAGAGATTTGTAAGAAATTCAGGTTTAATGCCAATTCTGGAGTGAAGGCATGGGAAAATCTTCAGAGTGAAGTATTACTTCAAAGGCTTCAGCCACAGTAAGCCTAAAAGGATAAACAGAATATGGTTTGTAATACTGTTATGATTTTACTTATACAAGAAACCTGGCTCTGACTTAAACTACAGTATTTGTTGTCCTGTAAGTCTTACAGAAAATTATTTCATTAAAATTATACTTTAAAAAATTTTGAGTAGCCTTGATCCGAATCTACCTCCTCTTCTTGATGAAGTACTCAGACCAGTACTTAGCATAAGCTATGTACTTTCTATATCTCTTAGGGCTCTGAAGTTATGGGGAGTGACACGCTTAATACGAATTATGGTGCATTTAGGGAGGATCCATTTTCTGGTATTTCAAATCAGCCAGATGATTATGGCAATCAGCATGTTTGGTGTCTATTTTTACTCAATTTTTCTGGAAAAAGATTTACCTACTATTATGAATTTAAGTTACTTTACTCCTTATACCAATTTTAAATTTATAAGTTAGAGCTGAGAGAACTGGTAATGGTCTTTTGTTAATGCATGAAACTGCTTTGAAATTCTTGGAAGAATGGTGCTATGGAAAATTCAAGGTAGTTATTAGTCTAATTAACCAAATAATTTAATGAGTCCAATTAGTTCTTAACTTTGTATTGCTTGTAGCCTATTAAAATGTAATTACCACTCCTGCTCTCAAATAAGATGGAGTAGCTAGTCTCAGACTAACCCTCCTACTAAGAATAACTATAAAACAGATGTTTGCAGGCTTCAAAGGGAAATTAAGGCAGCAGCCAGGACTGGATACATCAAGATCTCTAAGAGAAAGAAAGTGCATTAAAGTTAACGCTAGATTCATTGTTGATTTTTCCTTTTGGGGCAAGACAATTTTGGGACTGGGCATAAAGTATATACAGAAAGCTTGCAGCAGGGTGATTATTGGGTTGTGATTCAAATATGCAGTTCAAAGCTTCCACAGCAAACATGGAATAAGAGGAGGAACTAGATTAGAGGAAAGGACACTGTAGAACTTTGAGCTCAATGTTCTGCTTGCAGTTTCTCTGTGAGTCATTTGTCATATGCTAAGTATCCATGTGCAATGAGATACTGATAAACTAAGCAGAATGTAGCTGCAAGAAGCTAAAACACTAAAAAGAGAGGGTACTGTACCAGTGCTATGGAGACGCAGTTGGCGTCCAGAAGGAAGAGTTCTGGTAAAGAACTCAAATTTCCACTGATATTCCTGTAGGACCAAATACTAGGAGCCTCAGAAAACTGAAAGTAGACTCACCTGGCCTGAGTCAGGATGATCTTCTAGTTTGCCAAATCCACAAAGAGGATTTCCTATACATTTGAAAAGCAAAAGCAACACAAAATAGTAACAAAAACTAGGCATAGTAATAGAAAGACGAACCAAATGAGCACAAATAAAACAAAAAACCCTCAAACAACAATGAATCCCCTGGGTTGGTGAACTTGATTTTCCTCTTGATTGGCTCGGGAAAAGCCTAGGAATTAGTAAAGTACACTTGTGGGTGTCTTTGGGTGTGACTGCAGGGTATTCCAGAGATGACTAGTATGCGGGCTAACAAACTAAAGTGGCACCTGGAATGTGAGCAGCACCTTCCTGTAGGCTAGGGCCCAGATGGAGCAAAAGCAGAAGGCAGAAGTTTACTAGTATATTCCTCACCTCTTCCCCCATGGGCTGCCATGGGTGAGTAGCTTTGCTACACGATACCCTTTCGCATGAGTTCTGCTTCTCCTGATGCCCACAGCAATAAAACCAGCTATCATGGAGCTAAACCTCGGAAACCATGGGTCAAAAAATCTTCCTCAGGTTGATTTTGTTAGGTATTTGGTCACACTATTGGAAAGCTGACTAGCTTCCCTCCCCGCAACTCCAGCAATAAAACCAGAGGAGAAAAGGCAAACAGCTGAACAGAACCACAAGTTATCCAGATACTGAGGCTGTCAGATACAAGCCTTCTTAAAAATAATAGTGATTAAAGTGTTCAATGAAATAGACGAAACTGAAAGATTTCACTGGAGAGCAAGTATCTATAAAAATGAATCTAATTCTACAACTAAAGTTACTCTACCTCAATTAAATTATTCAATAGATAGTCTAATTACAGATTATGAAAGGATCAGCTTAGTAAAAGGATCATTAAACTGGAAGAGAGTCCAGCAGAATATACCCAGATTGACACCCAGAGAGAAAAAGGGATGGAAAATATACAATACATATGAAATATGATGTAAAAGCCTGAACATATTCAATTGGAGTTCCAGAAGGAGAAGAGTCAAAATTGACCAGAAATTATATTTGAAGATACGTTGGCTCAGAATTTTCATAAACTTATACGACATCAACCACAGAAGCAAATGTTTTAAGTGTCATACATAGGCGGTTTAAATGCAAAGAAAACTATCTCTAGACATATCATCATAAAGCTGATAAGAAACAAAGATTAAAACATTCTGAAAAGGTACCAGAAAGAAAAGAAATATATTTTTAGAAGCAGTAACATGATCAATACTTGATTTTTAAGAAAATGAGTGGAAAGTAAAAAGAATTAAGATATGTTATTGTCTTAGTAACTTTTCTTGTTGCTGAGACAAAATACATGATACCCAAAGTTAAAGGAGGAAAGTTTTGTTGCAGCTCACAGCTTGTAGAGGTTTTAGTCTATAATCAGCTGGTTCCAAAGCAGGGCAGCATGGCATAGTGGCATCACAGAGGAGAAACAGTTCAGGACAAGGAGAAAGCAGTGAAGTAGCAAAGAAACAGCAAGTGACAGGTGAAGGCAGCAGCCCCTCTCTCTGTCCCTTATTTTCTACCCAGACTACACCTTTAGGGCAGGTAGCACTTACACCCAGGGTGGGCCATCCCATTATCCACACCTAGACCCGTGCCAAACCAATCAGTGGGCTAATTTAGTGATCACACACCTTTAATCCCAGTGTCACAAACTCTAGATCCAGTCAGCTCTGAAAATCCCCATCTATGACCACATGAGGCTTTGGGAGGACATCTAGACACAAGGCATAACAGTTACGAACATGTACCAACTCTGTATGATAGAATGTAATCAGTACATACTGCAAACATGTACTAACAAAAATAAAAATTAAAACAACAACAACAAAAGAAAATGAATGAAAGCTGGAATGACATCGGGAGGCAAATAAAAGCTTAAGGAATTTAGCTATAGCAGATGAACACCAAAAGAAATAGCAAGAGTTCTTCAGGCAGAAAGAAAATGTCCCCAAATGGAAGTGTGAAAATTCAGGAAGGAATGAGGAGAAATAGTAAGTATGTAAAAAATATGTCAATATTCCCTGCATAAAACAACAATGACGATATCATGAAATGTAAAATATTTGTAGAACATAAATATATGATGACAGTACTGTAAAAAGTGGATCAACTATTTAAAGTTTCAAAGTCCCCCATATTTTCTGAGAAGTGGTGAAAGTACTCATATGTGGTAAACTATAATAAGTTGAGAACATTTGTTGTAATCTCTAAAAAAACACTAACGTGTAATAATGTACATGTAACAAGCTAGTGGAGAGAATGAACATAATTAAAAAAGAATTATCACACAGAAGACAAGAGGAGAGGAAAAATGGAACAAGGAATAAATGATACAAAAAAATAAATAGCAGTTTGGTAGATTTGAACCCAAATAAATCAGTTGTTACATTGAAATATAAATGAACTAAATCCTTCAAATTAGATTAAAGATGATCAGAATAGATGAAAGAAAAAAATGCAAATATACTCGTCTCAAAGAGATTATAATTTAAGTGTAGGAATGGGCAAATATTTGAAAGTTGAGGGATAACATGGTATAGCTTGTACTACCAACTAAAGGCAATCAGGTATTAATAACAGATGAAGTAAATTTTAGAGCAAGAAATATGATTACAGAACAAGGTTCTTTTTCCTTAGCACTCCTGGGACTGTGGGATGGGAACTTCTTTGTCACGGGGGGACTACCCTGGGGATTGTGGTGGTTATTGGCAACCCTGGCCCATACTCACCAGATGCCAGTAGCATTCACAACCTCAGGTTCTGACAACCCAAAACATCTGCAGACATTGCCAAATGTCCTCAGGTGAGAAGGACTGTTTACACAGAGGAAGAGACAGCTCACAACATTAAAGGAATCAACTCCAAAGGAATATAAAATGACATTTAGCTTAAGCTATACTCCTCTTCTAGCATAAGCATTAAGGTTTTAACTTTTTTCCAACCGCTGCTTCACTGAAGTTTCACTGTATCTCTGTGATGCACACTTTGAATGGTATTATATTGCTTAATTTTCTAATTGTTTTTATTGTTTTGTGATTTTCAACTAGTTGTTCTGTTATTGATTTATAAAGAACAAAAATTAGCATGTGGAAAATGTGAAGGATGTGATCTCCAAAATATACCTGACTGCCTATATACTAACTCTATACTGACGGTACAGACACACATTTCCTTTTCAAGTGCATATAAATAAACTATATGCTGGGCCACCAAGCATTTATTAGCAAATATCAAAATTTAAAATCAGGTACAGTCTATTTTCTGACCACACTGGAATTTTGCATAAATTTTAGTTATTCATGTAGGAGAAAAATATGATGACAGTAATAGATTATAGAACAGCATTCAATAAAATTTAACACCAATTCATGAAAAAATCCTTAGCAAGCTAGGAATAGATTATCCTAATGATAAAGGATATTAAAAAACAAGTAATAACAAACATCATTCTTTTTTTTTTATTTTAAAGATAAAAGGAGGGAAACATTAACAGACATACAACATTTTACAACATATCACAAGCACAATACAGACAATACAGAGTTACAAACAAAGTGGT